CCCAAGTGCCAAAACTGCCCCTGGGATGTCTTCCCCAGGTTGGCGGAGGAGACACAGGCAGGGGAGGTGGGGCTTGGTCGGGGCAGCCCCACCACGTGAAATTCACAGGCCCTAGCCCGGTGCCCTCAGGGAATCCAGGCGGGCTGGGGGGCCCCCCCGGTGCGGGATGGGGTGGTGTAGGGAGTGCAGGGCAGGGGGAGGCCGGAGACTGCTCAGTCTCTCTCTCTTTGACAGCTAACATTTTCCAGACCAGAGCTGGCGCCCGCATGAGAAAGGAAATCTAGAGCTGCCCACCTCACACATCTTTTTCCCATTTTGTTCATGCTGCCCGGGGAAAGCCATTAGGGCTCAGGCTGTCTGGGCCTCCCCCACCGCCCATCTCTAGCAGACTGTAAGGAGGGGCAGGGATGGGGGGGGGTCACTGGAAGGACAAGGCCCGAGCCTGCTAAGGGGCCAGACGCTGAACTCTTGTGTCTTTTAACTCCCCGCCCACTTAAGATGGGAATGTGGGGGCAGGGACTGGGAAGCTGGGCTTCTGGGGCCCTCCCCCACTCTGCTCGTCCCCTGCACCTCTGTCTCCGGGAGTCTGGCCCACTGGCCCTACAGAGAGGCGAGCCTGGGCCTGGTCTGCAGCAGGAAGCATCCTGGAGTCGGGGAAGCTGGTCCTTACTATCTAGCTTCCGGGGCTCTGGCCTCCTCCCTGGAGCCAGGCAGGGGCAGGGGCACCCAGCCCAACTACTGGGTGTCACTGCCTGCAGGCGTGCTTCGTGGGGCGGGGAGGAGAGGGAAAGGGAGCACCCAGGAGCCTAGCCGAGGAGTCCTCCTCTAGCTGACCTCCTTCCTGACGCTGACCCATCAGCCCCTGTTGTCCTGCCCCGGCTCCTGGGGACAGAGCCCAATGCCCTCTTTCTAGCCCCGTCCAGAACCTCAAAGCCCAGACCTCAGAACCTCACAGCCTCTTCTCTGGCACCGTAACCCCCGCCCCTCCCTCCTGCCCCTTTCCTGTCCAGTCCCAGAGTCTGCCTCTCTGGCCCCGTGCCCACCCTCTGCAGCCCAGGCCAGAGCAGGAAGAGAGCACCCACCCCGCGCGCAGCCCTGCAGATTTCCTCCTTCTTCCCGAAACTCCTGATCATCTCAACAGGGAGAGGGGTTCCCGGGACCTCTGGCTCTTCTTCAGTTTCCCCGTCCTCAGAGAGCGGGAGAGGAGGCATCTGGGAGATGGCTTGGGCCCCCAGAGCCAGTCCTGTGCAAGACCACCGCCGGCCTACTGCCACACTTGTCTCTGCTCCGGCTTCCCTTTCCTGCCCTGGGCTGCCAGGGGTTAAGGGGCCGGTGCCCAGCACAGGGTGGGAGTGGCAGAGGGGTCCAGCCCCAGTCACTGGCTCATAAAAGCCAAGAGGAGTTTAACTGCGGGTCACGGTGCTGGTGCCGCCTGACTTCTCCCTCCAGTAGTGCTGCCCTGGGAGGGGGAGGGGCTCCTTCCGGAGGGGAAACGGCGGGGGGGGGGGGGGGGGGGGGGGGGGGGCGGGCCACAGCTGGCCAGAGTCAGGCCCAGGCCTGTGCAGCCTCAGATGCTGGCAGTTGCCATCAACAGTGCCAGCCACGCTGGATCCCTGACTTAACGCTGGAGGTTCTCCAAGAGGCAGGAAGACCAGAGTAAGGGGAGCCCGACTTCGGTGCCTGTCGCCGACCGCAGCAGGCAAGAATGGGCAGCCGCCTAGGTGGGGAGAGAGGTGATGCCCTATGCCAGACCAGCAGGAAGCACCAGTCTGGAACAAAGGCAGAGGGACAGAGAAGCAAAGATCCCGGGGTCAGGGAGCGAGAACAGTGTGACCGGAGGCCAGCTGAGCCAGGGGCCTCTCTCGGGGGACAAGATTCAGTCTGGACACGTCCTCAGCCAGGGCATCCCCACCTCCTCCCTCTTGCCTGCCCCGCTCGGGGCCCGGCCCAGCCCTGGGGAGAGCGTTGGCAGCTGGGAACCAGGCACCAGGGCCAAAAACAACAGAGGAGCCGCCTGGGCGCCGGGGCGCAGACCCTCGCCGCTCTGACTGACTTCTGACTCGGGCAGCCCCCGCCCCCCCCTCACCCCGACCGACCGTCTGACCCTGCCGGGCCGCACCTGCCCTGGAGGTCACTGTCATCCCCTCTGAGTCCAGCTGCCCCTTTCTTCAGGTCACTCGGGATTCTCTGCCGCCCTTTCCCTGGTTTGCAGGGAGGTGAGTCGCCTGCTTTCCAGGTCTCTGGCCCTGTCCCCCAGACGGCACCTCGGCGCACTGGAAGCTCTTTTCCAGTCTAACCTCCGTGCGTCCTGCTACAACAGCAATCTGATGTGGGGAGAGTCGGAGCCAGGCCTTACCAAAGCCTTGCAAAGGGCTGGGTCCCTGAACCCAGGGAGACAGACAAGAATGGAACATTCCCCTTGGTCCTGAGGGGTCAGACCAGACCAGGGGGCAGGAGGCTTGAGTTCACACTGCCCCATGTGGAATGCTGACGGCCGGGGGACCCAGGGGACGCCACTGTCCTTCGCCGGCCACTCCTGGCTCTTTTATCCTACTCTCAGACACCACTCCCGGCCCCCCCCGCCCCCCCCCCCGCCCTGCTGCCCCTACACCGAGTGGCAGAGACCCAGTGTCCAGCCTCACCTGGGTTTAATTTCTACAGGACTCCCAGCCAACAAACTCTCTGACCCAGCAGATGTAATAACACTGCTCAGGGTGAGGCTCGTATACAAGTGCTGAGTTTGGCCAGAGAATCTTCTCCGGTCCCAGTAGGTCGGGGAGGGGAAGGGGTTCATGACTGGGCGGGAGGGGGGTGGGATTCGTGACTCTCCCACTCTTTCCAACCCCAGCTGGGCTGCTGGTCCCTCCAGCCCCATCCTCACCGAAGCGACGGAGAGGGGGTAGGGGCAGCTCCTCTTCCCAAGCCCCCAGACCCGTCCCCCCGCCCCCCCCGTAGGGCACACATCTACATCCACTCGGGCTCACGCCCCTCCACCCAGCCAGGAGCGCGCCAACCTCCATTCCTTCCACTGCAAAACCAGCCACTTTCCTCTCAGCCACCGAGCAATGGGAACAAAGCCCCAGAACGTTCCTTTCCTGTTAGCCCAGTTTCCTCCCCACCCCACCCCCATGCTGCCTCCGCTGTTCTAGCTTTTCTCATCAACTTTGCGCCCCCCTCCCTGAGTCTCCAAATTCCTGGGGGAGCCCCCAACAGGGGTAAGACCAAGGCTCCTAGAAAGCTAGAAAGGGAGATTGGGTTGCGCACTCCCCCCCCACCCCCCGGGGCAGATCTGCATCAGGTTTGGTCATAATGAAAAGGCCAGCAACACTAGGGAAATTCCTTCTCCTTATTGATCCTGGAGGGAAATTAAAGCCAGTTGTTTGTGACTGAGTGACTGACGGTGGGGTGGGGGTTAAGCTCCTCCCCGCTGCCCGGTTCCAAGCCTAGCCCCTGGGCTCCCCATCCCCCACTGGTAGCCCCCTTTCCCAACCCCCAGTCCTCTTGTCCCATTCACAGTGTCCCCTAAGCCCCTTCCCCGGAGCCCCCTCCACTTGCCCGTCCGCCAGCACGCTGCCCGTGGGCTCACAGGGCTGCTGGGGGCTGGGACCGCCGGCCTAGCTTCTCAGACCCCATACCCACCCCCTCAGCCAGGGTTGGGGTGCCGGGGGCCGGAGCTCAGGCTCAGAGCTGCCAAACCACAAGCACTCACATCTGGAAAAAATCCCCTTCCCAGCCCGACTTCCCTTTGTCTTCCTTCTGTCTCTTTGGAACTTCTGGCTGCCTGGCCAAGGGGTGGGGGGTGGGGGGTTGGGGTGAGGAAGTGAAGGGAGGTGTATGGGCCCAGGCCTCCCTGCCCCCACCCCAGAGAGCCCCCTTCCAAGCTCGCCAGGATCCTCAGCCAGACCACATCCGTCTCTGTGCTCCTGTCGGTCCAGCCTCCTGCTGACCATCTTTTGGGTGAGGTTTTAACATCCTTAGTCACCAGGCCCCTGGGGGAGCCGGCCTGCACCGGCCCTTCTCATGTACAGCAGGAAAGATGCCCACGGAGCCGGGGACTGGACTCTCTGGCAGGGGCCTCAGAGGGCTGGTGTGGAGAGGAGGTGGTCGTGGTGACCCGGGTCGAGACCAAGACTTGGGCGCGGGAGCGGGGGAGGGGTGCATGGGTTCCTGCCCTGTTCCCTCCCCCAGGCCTCTCCTCCTCCCTTTGGCCAGGAGCCTGATTTCTCTGTCAGAACCGAATCCCCCTCCCTTTACCTACAGCAGCGCCAGTGGGTGGGGGGAGGAGCACAGCCGGCGTCCAACCCCAGGCCCCAGGCATCCCCCCACCCCTCCCCTCCACCACCTCTGCTTTTGTCTGCCCTTCCTCCCAGAGCTCCGACCTGCTGCCCTCTTACTGCAGAAGCCCAGGCCACCCCCCACCCCCAGAGAAGCCCTCCCACACAAGCCCGGGACCCCTAAAGCCCGGCTGAAGCACGCAGCTCCCTCCCTTAAGCAGGGCAGTCCCGCTGCCATCCATCCCTTCAGTTCAGAGGCACCCCGGCTGCTGCACTGTCTGCACACAGGCATTTTTCAGGGATTCCCCTCTTCACAGCACGGAGGGAGCCCCAGCACTTGTCCGGGCGTCCGTGAAGCTCCCCAGCCCCTCTCCTGGGGCTCTGTTCCGCCGGCCTCCTCCCCAGCCAAGGCCCCCAACCAACCCTCTTGGCCGGTCCGGGGCTCTAAGAAGAAGGGTTCCGAGTCCCAGTGAGCCTGTCCTCTGCCCCTCCCACGGACACGCTGGCAGGGAGGGGCCAGCGCCGGGACCAGATGTGGGGCTTTTCCTCGCGAGGGGCCTGGAGCGGGGCCTGGGTGCGGCGCGCGGCGGGCAGCGGGGCCACGTGCGCGCTTTCGCCAAGGGAAGCGGGCCGCAGTCCTGGGCGCCCGCCGGGCCCGTCCGCCTCCGGGGCTCTACCGTTGGCGGCCTCGGGAACCTCCATTTGGGTCAGGCCCCCCCAGCCCGCCCCGCAGGGGTCTCCGCGGGTAGCCGGCCCGGCCCCCTCCTTTGATGTTCCGCTCCGAAGCTGCTGGGGGGGGGGGGGGGCGGCGCGGCCTCTCCTTCCGCCCTTTGGACTGCGCACGACGGTGACACCTGAGACCCCGCTCCACCCCCTTCCCGGGGCACCCAGTCTCCCTCCAACCTGGGTGGCAGCGTGGCGCGCCGGGGCTCCGCGCCTCGGTCCCCGCCTCCCCTCCCCGCCGCCGGCTGCGATCCCCTGGGGGTCCGGGGAGCCCGGAGACGGAGAAACCGCCTTAATAAAGAGCTCGTGTCAAGTGATTGGCTGTGACCTCTGCCCTCCCCAGACTCGCGCCCGCGGCTCCTGCTTAACCCTTCGATGCCCGCCCAACCCCTCAAGAGGTGGGAGTCTCCCCCGCGCCAGCTTCCAGGGTCCCCAGAGGCCCCCGGCACTGCCGCAGCCCTAAACTCTGGGGAGACCGGCCTGGGGGGGGGGGGGGGGGGGGCGCCCCTCCCCGCCCCCTGCAGCCGCTCCAGCAGGGGGCGCCGTTGCCTCATTCGGGTGCCCGGCCCCGCAGCCCCTGGCCTCCCCCGCAGGTCTCTGAGCTCGGGGCGGCCGCCCCGGACCCAATTGGGCCCCAGTGGAGCCGAGCCCCGCCGCCTCGTCTTCCGCAGCTCCGGCTCGGAGCGGGATTCGCCCGCTGGTAGTGCCACCGGGTGCCGGGCGCCAAGGGGCCGAGCGCACCGAGTCAGGTGGGGACCGAGCGAGACGTGACCCTGGGGCTCGCGCTGCAGGACGTGAGACCTGGGTATCTGCGCCCCGGGCCTGGCGCCCCCTCCTCCCGGCTGAGAGCCCAAGCCGAGCGCTCGGCCCGTGTCGCCTCCCCAGACACCCCTGGCGCGGGAGCCAGCTGTCTCCGGCCGGCGAGCCCTGCACCCGCCCCCGGGGCCAGATCCAAAGGCCGGGGAGCCGGGGCTCAGGGCCCCCCAGGTGGGGTGGGGGGCGGGGCGGCAGGCGGAGCCATCTCTCTCTCTCTCTCTCTCTCTCTCTCTCTCTCTCTCTCTCTCGGGCAGGGGCGGGCCCGGCGCAGGGTATAAAAGCTGCCCGCGCGGGAGCCCAAGCCAGCTCCGGGGTTGTCCTGGGACGTGTCCTGGCTCCCGAGTCTCACGACCAGGCGAGGTCGGCGACATCTCTCTTGACGAAAAGACTCGGCGTCCAGTGCTCCGACCAAAGCATCATGCCCAACTTCTCCGGCAGCTGGAAGATCATCCGATCGGAAAACTTCGAGGATTTGCTCAAAGTGCTGGGTAAGGAGATTTTCGGGCGCCCGGGGCCTCGAGGTGGGCACGGGAAAGAAAGCAGGGCGGGGATCCGGGCGGGGGAGGTTGGGCGTCAGCGTCCCCGAGCAAGGGGGCCGAGCGCCTGGGTCGGGGGGCTCAGGGCCGGGACCTAAAGGTCCTGAGCGACCAGCCTGTGGATCCAGTAGAAAGCACGAGGTCGGTGTCCCGGGGGTGGGGCAGGGGAGCCCCTCCGAGACCTTGCCGCCTCTTCGCCCCTGGCCCCCCGCGGCGGCCAGTAGCCCAGTCCCCACACGGCCTCCCGGTTCAGCGCGTTCCACTCTGCGCCCCCCCGCCCTCCATCCGTGAGACTAATGCTTCCCTAGGCGGGCAGCTCCAGAGGCCCAAGTCTCTGCATAATTATCACTTTCTTAGATTTCAACAAATGGCTTCGTGTGAAACCCCAGCCCCCCATTCCCGAAAAACTGCGGGCTCTCTTCTCCCTCCCTCCCCTGAGACCCCCCCCCCCCCCCCCCACCCCTGCGGGGTGTGTGGGTTAAAGGTGGGGGGAGTGGAGGCTAGTCTCAGTGCGTTTCCCAACTCCTGGGTGCCCTGAGGTGTGTGGGGAGCTGCCCCAGCCCAGGCTGCTGGGAGGGGGCTCTGGGAAGGGGAACATTTGGGAAGCCGCCACCTGGGAGCCCTGCGGCCTACGGGTAAGCATGCCATCCATTTCTAGACTGAACACAGTGACCCCGGTTGGGCAGGGGGAGTGGGGGGGCACTTGTGTGTGGGTGAGTCTGGACCTCCGAAGAGTCTGGAACGCTGTTTCCATCATGCCTGGCCATTAGCTCTTGCCCCCTAACCCCAGCGCTCCTTCGAGGCATGTCTCCCATCTTCCCCACTCTGCCCTCGCTGAAACTAAAAACCAAAATGAAGACTCTCCCTTCAGAAAGCCTAGATGCGTTCCCTCCCCTTGTCTGGATTCTGACCCCTGTCCCCAGTGGATGAGGCCCGAGGTGGCCGGGCACACACCCGCAGGCCCAGCTGGAGACTAAGAGCCCAAGCCCAACCCTGTGGTCTGTCTGTCTGTGGTCTGTTTGTCCTCCCTGCAGGGTCTCTCAGAGCCACGTGCCCTCCTCAGGCCCTGCTGGGGGCAGATTGAAAACAGACCCGTTAGACAAACAGCCCTGGCTGGAGCGGGGTCTCCTGCGAGCCCGGCCTCGCCCAGCCTTGCCTCTGCAGGAACCTCGGCCCCTCCCTGCCCCCTCTGCCCCAGTCAAGGATCCCTTTCCTGGTGAGGCATGCCCAGGTGGTGTTGGGGGATACGTGTCCCATCCACTATGGTAGGCGGGCTGCGTGAGCAGATTCTGTTCCTGTAACGGGGAACATGGTTGTCAGAAGGTGAGCTGCACTTTCAGGGGGCAACACGGTGGAGACAGGGTGGGATGGGCCTCCTCTACCAGGGTGACCAGGCCCGGGGACCTCGGTCATTTCTCCCAACAGCCGAGAAGGGGGCTCCTAGGACCCCTGGGGGAGTCCATCCGCTCTCCCTGTCCCTTTCTGGAACAGAGCAGGTCTGCTTTGGTGCCAAGGGGAAAGAGGATTTGTTTCTGTAGGAACCCAGGTCTGCAGGGGGGCCAGGGAGCTCGGCTTCCCTGACCCAACCCTGCTTGCCCCCCCCCCCCGCCCCGATCCCCACCCCTTGCTTCCCTGAAGGTCTCTGCTCCAGGTCAGGGTGGGGGCGCCCAGCAGGGGAAGCGGGGTGATGCTCAGACACGCCCCTGCCAGGTAGGCCTCCCTGCCTGCTTTTCTTCCTGGGACAGATGCTGTCTCCTGGCTTCGCCACCCTTCTTAGAGACTGGGGAGCAAAGAGAAGGGGTCCAGTGTGGGGAAGGATGTGGGGGGCCGGCACAGGGACTCTGGGTCCACAGAGGCTGAACCAGAAGACCTGACCACTGAGGTCACGAGGATCCTAGAGTAAGGAACATATGGGGGGGAGGGGGGGCAGTGTCCCTTTCCGTCCCGCGAGGGGAGAGGAGCCAGGAGGGCAGGTGAGCTCTGGCTTTTCCTTCGACTTCCTTTTCTCAGTAAAAATAATAAGAGCTCCTGTTTCCTGAAAGCTGGAAGGTGTACCCAGTGCTGCGTGCGCTGAGTCCTGCACACGTCACCCGTGCTGTGGGGGCTCCACTTTATGCTTGAGGAACCCGAGGCCCAGAAAGGTTCCGTCACCTGCCCAGAGTCACCTGGCCTGCCAGAGAGGCCGAGCCACGTGGATGTCAGGGCCGAGTGGATCTCACCGCAGAATCTCTGGCTTCCCCAGGCCATTTGTAAGAGGGGACCAGCCGCCCCCCTCCTCCTCGTCACCCACTGATAGTCCCCGCTCCTCACTTTGGGGAGGGACAGAGATTGGGCACATGAAGGCCAACCCAGTGCCAGACAGGGGAGGTGGGTCCGGCAGGAAGGAGAGTGGCCCCTACTTCCTGGATAGGAGTGGCGGGGCCTGGCTGAGGATCCTGGGTCTGGCCTGCCCTTGGGCAGGGGTGAAGACGGTGACTCTGCGGAGTCCACCCCAGCGGAGGGTGTCGAGCAGGGCGGACCAAGGGCGGCAAGTGAGGCGAACTGGGCCGAAGTGAGGGCGCCGGCACCTCCCTGCAGGGGTGAACGTGATGCTGAGGAAGATCGCCGTGGCGGCGGCATCCAAGCCGGCGGTGGAGATCAAGCAGGAGGGAGACACTTTCTACATCAAAACCTCCACCACGGTGCGCACCACGGAGATCAACTTCAAGATCGGAGAGGAGTTCGAGGAGCAGACGGTGGACGGGAGACCCTGCAAGGTGAGTCCCTCGGGGTCATGGCCTCCATTGCCCTGCCTCACCACGTGCCGTTTTCCGGAGTGTTCTGGGATCCTTCCAGCGGAGCAAATCCCTCTCGCGGCACCCACCCTGCTGCGGGCCCAGCCCACCTGGCCTCTCTCCTGCAGAGCCTGGTGAAATGGGAGAGTGAGAACAAAATGGTCTGCGAGCAGAGGCTTTTGAAGGGAGAGGGTCCCAAGACCTCGTGGACCAGGGAGCTGACCAACGACGGGGAGCTGGTCCTGGTAAGCCGCTCCCAGCTGAGCACAAGCCCGGTGCCACCTTCGGGCTTTTCTGGGACGCTGCAGGGCGCTGGAGGTTCAAGACCGACCATAGCTGGCCTCCCCACCTCCTGATGGCGCTGCTGGGGAAGGACTAAGCTGTCCCTGTCCCACAGGCTGCTGCCCTGTGGCCGTGCAATGGTGTCCCGTGTGGAGCAAGCCATGTGGGTTGAGGCGGCAGGGTGGCATCTGGGCAATCCGTCCTCACAGCTTGGGGAGGAGTATGGGGGACACAGCCCCGGGGGGGGTCTATGCCGTCTTCCCTCCCGTGACACCAGGGCATTTTGGGGGCCAGCCCCTGCCTGTCCATTCTGAATCTAGAAGCAGGACCAGGGGCCTTCCAGGTTAACGATGACTTCTGACCTCTGTCCTTTTAGACCATGACGGCGGATGATATCGTGTGCACCAGGGTCTATGTCCGAGAGTGAGCGGCCGACGGTCCAAGGGCTTCCAGAGCCGCCCCCCAGCCCCTGCTCCCGGCCCCACTGCCCTTCCCCCTTCCTTCTAGGCTAGCTCTCCCCTCACCCCGCTCACTCCCGGGGATGCTGGGATGCCTCCAGCGGGGCTCTGCTGTTTGGGGCCTCCCCTTCCTCCGCTCCCCCAACAAAGAGGGGTGGATGGTAAGAACCCTGATCACCCGGTCCAGAGTCACTCCCCTTCCCCGGCCAGCAGTCCCAGCCCCAAACCAGCCCAGAGCACAGCCCCTCTCTCTGTGAGGGGACCTGAGGGCCCCAGTGGGAAAGACGGCCCTCTGGTTTCCACTCTTTGTCCCGGTAGCCTACACAGTGTAGAATATTTATTGGTTAATTTTATTAAAATGTTTTGAAAACTACAACCCGTCTCTGGCTCCTTGGGAAGGGGACAGATGAGTGGCCTGAGTTCCACTTTGCCTCTGAAATGCGGTGTGGGAGGCAGGTGTTCAAGCAGCAGGATGAGAGGAGGGATGGGCCTTCCCCTCGTCCCTCCCTCCCTCCGCCCACCCCCCCCCCCCCCCCCCCCCCCGCAAGAGCTGACTCCCACTTTTCCATGATGGTGACCCAGCTTCCTCCTCCAATTGTTCCTCCTCTCCTCCAGCTCCAATCTGGGCCACCCCAGGCCTGGCCTTGACCTCCCACATGGTTCCAGATGAGCTCACCGATGCCCACAGGCCGACCTCGCTCCTGCCCGGGGCTCCCCCTGATGGGACTCCACTATCTCAGCCCTGAGACCTGCACACCCCCCCCCGGCCGGCCCCCACACCCCTTCCCACACCTCCACTCTCGGGTCCAGGCTCTACCGCGTCCTCCTAAGTTCCACGGTGACCTCTCAAGTGCCCGCCCCCCTCCCGCAGGCCAAGGCCCCCCACCAGACCGGCTCAGGGCTCAGCTGTTTAGGCAACAGCACCTTCAACCTGGCCTGCCCCGCTCTTCACCGTCAGGGCGTCGTGGGGCCTGCTCTGTCACCGGCTGCTTATGCTTACGTGACCTCAAGCGAGTTGCTTTGTTTCTTTGAGCTTTAGGTCTGTAATCCAATGACTTACGTGCGGGGAAGTTTCAGTGGGGTCCAGCCAAATCCAGGCAAGGTCACCAGCCTCTCCCCACTGCCCCCATCCTGTCCTCTCCGTTTCCTTTGTGCTCTGGCCACGCTCAATCCTGTCACGTAGAAGTTTCCCCTCCATCACGGAAAATGGTCTTCAGATGCCCCATGCTTACATGGTCACAGCCTGGGGTCCCCCAAAAGAAGGACTCTCTCCCAGGGTCCGTATCTTCATCCCAGAAAGGGTTCGATTCTGTCTGACTGCATGACTGTCCCTTGGCCCACTGGCTATTGGCAGGGCAAGGGGCCTGGTCCTCGTGCCCTGCCATGGCCACGGGACAGGTGGGCCGGTGTGACAAGCCCCCCAGAGCCCCTGGGATGGGAAGGAGCGCTTTCCTATGAGGAGGGTTGCAGATTTCTAATCTATAACATAGCAATTATGTACAACGTCCACCTCACAAAGGCATGTACCTAGCACCTAGCAATAGTAAGCCCTCAGGAAACGAGGGTCCCACCTCTCTGACCCACCCTCCAAAATGCTGCCGGGGGCAAGAGAGGGGGCTCTTCAATAAATGAACTGTATTATGTCAGTGCCTTGTTCAAAAATCCATAAAACAAAATAAAACTCCCATCAGCTGCAGCTCCTCTTTTTGTCCAGAATGCCGTCCAGACTGGCATCAGAGGCCATTTAAGACGTGGCCCCTACCCCCTCCTGCGTGTGCTCCCCCCCTGCACCTGCACCGCAAGGCGCCCTCTGGCCCACGGGCGCCCAGCGCTTCTCCAGAGCTTGGCTTCTCGGTGGCAGCGGCCCCTCCCCCAGCAGTGCTGACAGCCAGCGGTCACGCTTCACAGCCTGGGTGTGGCAGGTGAGCCTCCACTCCCTGAAAGACTGGGGTGCCCTGGGGCCAGGGCCTCCAGCTCCTGCCCCGCGAGAGGCCACGTGCTGCAGCTGAGAGCAGAAGGTCAGGGCCCCAGAGTGGGGACACGATGTCCAGAGTCCTGGGGCAGCCCAGGCCCCTGAGTGGGGGGTGGGGGCAATGGTGGGCCCTTTTTCGTGTCCACATCTGCCTACTGTTTCCTGAGAGCCTCCCGGGAGCCGGGCACCCTGCTGGGTGCTGGGAACTTGGAAATGAATCCAATGGACAAGATGGCTGCCCTCGTGGGGCCTGCGGGAGGGAACAGACCTGTAACGGGGAACCAGAAGATTAAAGACATAAACGCACCGGTCAACTCATAAGCACAGACCACGTAACCATGTAGGTGCTTGAAGGAAAGGGGGGGAGAGGGGGAGAGCACCAGAGGAGGCCTCATTTACCCTGGGGGTGGGCAGAGGTGCTGGGGACGCAGGTGCTCTGGAGGACGGAGAACTTCGGGGGGCCTGAAGGACGCAGTGGGGTGAAGCAGACGGGAGGGTACTCTAGGCAGGGAGAATCGCAGGGGAAGGCCCTAGGGACAGTCTGGGGCTGCCTTTGGCCTGGGGACTGGAGTGCAGGCCAGCTGGGGCCTTTGGGGGCCGGGACGGGCACAACCTGAGGGGCCCGAGGCCACAGTAAATATTTCTTATTTGATTCCAAGAGCAGTGATGAGCCACTGATGAGCCACTGAAGGGGGTGGCATCCCTCTGGCTGCCACGCAAAGACGGAGCAGAGACAGGCGGGGGGTGGGGGGGGGCAGGAGGCTGGGGAGACGCTGGGGCAGAGAGTAGAGACCCCGTGATGCACGAGTTCAGGGGACCAGGGGTTAGAAAAGGCAGAGTGCCCAGAACGGCTCTCTGGCTTCGGTCCTGGGGGCTGGTGGTTCTGTTTTCAGAAATGGAGAGATGAACCTCGGCTTTCTGGATGCCATTTGCTTTGTTTTAATCCAGAAGCACCGTAACTCCTCAACCCGAGGCCCGGCTTCATCTCCTTTCTGCTTCCCCTCCGCAGGCCTTTGTGGCTGGAGCATAGGTTCTTGCTTTGCTGCCCAGTTTGTCTCTTTCTGGAATCAAGCTGCTGAGAAGAGCAGAGACTAGAGGCATGTTTCTGTTTCCCAAGACTCCAGAAGGCAGGGACTAGGTCTCCACCCTCAGACTGGGGGCTCTCAGAGGACAGGGTTTGGGTCTCTCCCCTCAGACTAGGGGCTCCGTGAGGGCAGGACTGGACCTTCCCCCACCAGACCGGGGGCTCTCAGAGGACAGGGATTGGGTCCCTCCCCTCAGACTAGGGGCTCCCGGAGGGCAGGGACTAGGTCTTTCCCTTAAACTAGGGGCTCCTTGAGGGAAGGGACTGGGCCTCTCCCACCGGACTGGGAACTCCTGGAGGGCAGAGACTGGGTCTCCCCCATCAGACTGGGGGCTCCCAGAGGACAATGGCTGTGTGTCCCCCCTGAGACTGGGCTCCCAGAGGGTGAGGCCCGTCCCCTGGCTCTGTTTCCCCAGCACTTCCCCGCCCTCCAGCCTGAGGTGACAGGGAAGTTACAGTCCTGGACCAGGAGATGGGATCAGGGAGGGGCCGCCTCACCCATCTGGCCCAGCCCGTGAGAAAGTCCCTCCAGCTTCCCTCCCACCCTGAAGGCCCTCTTCCTCCTCTTCCTCCTCCACCTCCTCTGTCTCGTCTCCCGTCTCCCGTTACCTGGGCCTTCATTACTCAGCAGTGCCTCTGGAAGAAAATGCACAGGGGCCCCCATCCCCTGCCTGCACGCCACCGTGGGCAGAACCTTCTCTGCCATCCAGGCTTCTCAGAGTTCAAGCACAGAGGGGGCAGCACGGGGACCTGGGCCACCGAAACTCCTCTGGTCCTGCGACCGGAGGGCGAGTGATGGAGCGAAGAGAAGGTAGGAGGGCAGAGACCAGGGAGGGGGCACGTGTGACTGATTCTACCCCGGGGTTGGCCGGGCGCGGGGGGGGGGGGGAGACCTGCACCAACATCTTAGGGGAACTGAGGTGCGCGCACACACTCATGCACGCACGCACGCACACCCGCACGCTGTGCGAGAGACAGGAGCACGTTGCTGGGACAGGCCTAGAAGAGATTCGGGGCACAGCCAGACCCAAGACGGGAAAGCCTACAGCCTGCGGGGGCCCCCCAGAGCCCAGAGGTACCTCCATGCCTGCGTGTGACAAGAAGGAACCCACAGGGGAGGGCGGCCAGAAGTGGGGCTGGAGACTGGGGACCCTGAGGGAGGTGAGGAGAGGGGGAGGCTGGGAGGAGCCTGGAGGAGGCGACAGGGTCCCAGAGAAGGAGGGAATCCAGGAGGAGAGCTGAGCTCCAGGGGGGAGGAGAGGGTATTGAGGGCCCCAGGGGTGGGAGTCAGGAGAGAGGCCTGCCGGTCAGGCCCTCTGACCCCAGGTCCCGACAAAGGGCCGCCTAAGGACCGCCACAGGCACAAGATGGATGGCACTGGGGCGGCCAGGCCCTTTGTGGCGGGGGATGAAAGGCAGCAGGCTCTGAGGAGCGTCCCCCTCCCCGGGTCCCCCATGACTGTTGGCTCCCCTGCCCCTCCCCCAGTGACCTCGGGAGCCTTGGAGTGTTGTGGAGGGGGGTAGGAGATGGGGGGGGGGGGGGGCCGAGTCCAACCAGGGATTTCCCCTGGCTGGGCCAGCCCTACCTAGGAAAGATGGGGGGCAGCTAGAAGGACTGTGGGGGTCTGGGGGGCCCTTTGGTCTGTGGAGAAAGCGAACTAAGGTGCAGACTGTGTGCCAGCACCACCAGGGCCCCAGCAGAGCTGGGGGAGGCCGTTCCGGGGCCGGCCAGGGGTCCCCTGGGCAGGCCCTCCCGCAGGCCTGCTGCCCTCCTGACCTCTCGGCTTCTTCCTGTCCCCGGCCCCCCCCCCCCCCCCCAGGCGCTGCCAGTCGAGAAACCAGTTCTGTTCCCGTCCTGGATAAGGATCTCTGGGCTGGGCTCTTCCCAGGCAACGGCAGGAACCTGGCAGCCTGCGGCACCCCTGCCACCAGCCAGGGCCGCCGGGGTCTCCCCACGTCGGTGGGGGGGGGTGGGGGGGTGGCCTGCCCCTTCCTCACCAGTCCTGCCCTGGCCTCCTTCCCCTCTAGGAAGACCTCCCAGCGGCCCTGTAAGGGGCAGGGGGCCTCCCTTGCCTTCTCCCTTGGGTGCCCCAGAGGCTGGTCCCTCTCCCCCTGCCCCCTCGGCGCCCCCCAGGCTCCCAGGCTCCCCACGGGGCCCTGACAATTGCTCCCTACGGCGGGGTCGGCCCCTCGCCCCAGTCGCGGCACGGAAGGGGGCAGGGTGACACGGGCTTGACCCCACTTAACCCCAGCCCGCGGTCTCCTCCCGAACCATCATTCCCACGACATTCTGGTCCCTTTCTCGTCCCTCGGAG